CCTTCATTAGAGAAAAGTAAAGGAACATACAGTGAACATTCAGATTAATGTAGGTGTGGAACAGCAAACACGTAGTGTAGTAACTCTCTCCCAGATGGTGTTAGGAGGGACCTGATGTGGTGTAGTAATTCCCTCACAGATGGTGTTATGAGGGGCCTCACGTGTAGTAATTCCCTCACAGATGGTGTTATGAGGGGCCTCACGTGGTGTAGTAGTTCCCTCATAGATGGTGTTACGAGGGACCTCACGTGGTGTAGTAGTTCCCGCATAGATGGTGTTATGAGGGGCATCACGTGGTGTACGAATTCCCTCACAGATGGTGTTATGAGGGACCTGACGTGGTGTAGTAATTCCCTCACAGATGGTGTTATGAGGGGCCTGACGTGGTGTAGTAATTCCCTCACAGATAGTGTTATGAGGGACCTGACGTGGTGTAGTAATTCCCTCACAGATGGTGTTATGAGGGGCATCACGTGGTGTAGTAATTCCCTCACAGATGGTGTTATGAGGGACCTCACGTGGTGTAGTAATTCCCTCACAGATGGTGTTATGAGGGACTTGACGTGGTGTAGTAATTCCCTCACAGATGGTGTTATATGAGTGAGGTGTGGCCCCAGGCCTTCCTATCGTAGACGGATTAACACATCGCCGGTTGTTGGGTCTCACGGGCCGTTATCACTGGGTACCTGGGACCTCACTGTGTGAAGGTTAACTTGAATACGACTTTTACTGTTGAGTTGTTCTCACTGACTCAAGCACTGTTCACCAATGTTCACCTCTGTTTAACACTGGTTCCATTCCTTTCCCAAATGAAATTGCAACTTCTGGCGAGAACCTGTTGATACTCCCGTGGGGAGAAGTGGTTCAGGGGAGGGGGTTGGTATGGGCCAACTTAACAGTTGACCTGGCTGCTCCGAGAGGAGCGCCAGGTACGTCTTGACCCTTCGGTGGTCAAGGTGTGTCAGTGTGTGTGTGTGTGTGTGTTGGTAGTGAGTCAGTGTGTGTGTGTGTGTGTGTGTAAAATAATAATAATAATAATAATAATAATAATAATAAACGGTTTATTAATAGAGTTGCAGCCGGTGGCTGAAAATATTCAGACTTACATTTGATTTAGGCATAATGATGTAATATGCATTGAATACATTTACAGTGCTGTACAGGACATAAATCAGGAGTTGTTTATTATTTTAACAATAGATGGGATGGTGCTGTTCTTATATCTATCGGTGCGGGCTCTTATGGGCTGTATTTTGTTGTAGTGGCGGACTGCACGAGTTGGGTGGGGTGGCTGCAGGTGGCAGGAGGTGGCGATGACGAGGGTGGTGCAGTATTCCACTGCCAAACCTTTCCAGTGCTTGGTGTGTGTGTGTATGTGTGTGTGTGTGTGTGTGTGTGTGTGTGTGTGTGTGTGTGTGTGTCGTGTTGGTAGTGAGTCAGTGTATGTGTGTGTTGGTAGTGAGTCAGTATGTGTGTGTGTGTGTTGGTAGTGAGTCAGTGTGTGTGTGTATGTGTGTTGGTAGTGAGTCAGTGTGTGTGTGTGTGTGTGTGTGTGTGTGTATGGCTTTACTGCTGGCAGGTGAGAAATGATTACTGTCTTCACCTGTTAATCAGCGTGGCAGGTAAGAACAATCACCCTCACAGGTCAACGATAGCGTTAGTGTTTTCATTAACGTATCTGATACAGACTCATTAATAGTGACGTGAAATATAACCAAAACAACTGGCACTAATTAAGACTCAAGCTGCCTTTCTCACCTGTTAATAACCACACCTAAATCACTGCTTCTCACCTTAGTTATTGACTATCATATATTGAGATTAATTAGCCCTCTCTCATGGCTGTTGTCACCATCTCAAATTCATTCCTTTGTGTTATGGTTGGTAATCCACTCAACAGATGGCGTTGGCAGATCAACATAAATGAGTATCTGGAAACTGCTCCGAACACAACATCGCACACTAGTTTCACACAGCTTTCCCATATTGAGGGATCCTATCAACGTTTATGATTTAGTCATAGTAACATCATAGAGGCTAGTGTGTGTGTGCACCTTATCCGTTATCGTATCGGATATGATTTGGCTTGGTAAAGATTATAATGAAGTGTTCTTGTTGACTTGGGTTAGGTAAGGCTAGGTGTTAGGTTGTATCTAGTGGCCAAAACCCAAGACGCAAAATTTCGCTCTCTGGTTCTTTTGAAAACATCCATAACGCATTGTGGTCGTTTTCGGTTTTGGAACCCAACATTTATAATAAATAGTAATGGTCCAAGGACTGAGCCTTTGGGTACTGCACTAGTGATGTTACCCCAATCGGATTTAGTGTCGTTAATGCTTAATCGTTGTTTTCTGTCCTGTAACCACACCTAATCCAGTTTAGAATGTCTCCTCCAATGCCATGAGCCTACACTTTTCGTATTAGTCTTTCGTGGGGGACTCTGTCGAAGGCTTTGCTGAAGTCGAGGTATACCACATCATAATCGTGCCCCTCGTCCACTGATTTGAAAACTGCTGATAAGAATGTTTATAGATTGGTCAGACATGAACGCCCACTTGTGAAGCCATGTTGGGAATCATTGATCAACTTGTGATTCTCCAGGTGATTTCAAACAGTTTTAAATTATTGCCTCCAGCAATTTACTTACAATTGATGTTAAACTAATATGACGGTAGTTAGAGGATAGTTAGATGATATAGACGATAGGTGATTTAACCAAACCTAACCTAACTTAACTTGATTTAACCTAATCTAACATAACGTAACTTCCCTACTTAACTTTACCAAACCTAATATAAAGAGCGAAATATTCACCCAGAAGATACAGTAAGAATTTTTAGTTGTAGAAATACAAGTGAAGCAAAGGGTAGTGTGACTCGAGGTCGTAAATATAATATCACATATATTAACTCAGACTCAGTACAAGTGTGGTATATAAAGCACCAATGTTTGTTACAGCTTTATTTTATTAGTTCAACGAGGGGGGGGGGGGTTATGGGGGACTCGTACACGATATATTGTACAGTCACTCATAAAAGTTCGTGGGGGCACGTGTGTGTGCGTGTGTGTGTGCGTGCCAGTCCAGTCCCCACCTCTTTCTGGACGGCGAGTCTGTGTATAGTGATGTCACGCGAACACACACTGTAAGGGCGGAAACGATCCTCCGGCTGGTTATGGTTACCGCTGCTAACTCGCTCGTTTGCTGGTGCAGACGACACTTGGGGTGGTTGGACAGAGGTGAGAACGGCAGCGACTATCTGCGTCACCGGCAGATTCAACCCAGCCGCCATACCGTCAGTATCTAGCTACCCTGCTGTCCGTCAAATTCTGGCTGTGATCTCATCATAGGTCCTGGACTCGTGGGCTGTGTTCCCAGACCTTCACCTATCAACTGCCAACTCTCTGGTCATCTACCACTACCGCATACCACGACCGTCAGTTCATCACATTCCGTCTGTGTCCCCGTGTTCTCCTGCCATTACAAGATGTCGCTCGAGGGTGGAGTTGAATGGACGCTTCCCTACCCTGAGTGTGCATCACCGTGTTCCAGAACCTTCCCCCAGGGCCACTGCCGTAGGAAATATTTGTTCATGGTTTGATTCTATAATTGTTTGATTCCATTAATTGCTGACTCCCCTTTATTGTTCGATTCTATCAATTGTTGACTCCATTTAATTGTTTGAATCCATTAATTGCTGACTCCCATTATTTGTTTGATTCCTTTAATTGTTTGCTTCCATTAATTGTTTGACCCCATTATCTGTTGACTGCCTTAATTGTTTGACTCCCATAATTATTTGATGTTTGTTGAGTGGTGTCAGAGTTTTGTGTTATATTTTTATAGTAAAGAGATGCCAATCTCAAACGGTTCTTTGTTATTCCTCGGAAAACCATGGTCCTTGACTATCCTTTATTAAGATCCTGATTAGCCTGGTAAGGGATTTCTATCCCTAAGTCCCAGGCATTTACACACACATCGTGGTTGGGCGTCAGGATGTGGTGTACTGGTCGTGATATGGCTATCTGTGGAGCGTCCTCTTCATAATTACTGATAAGCCAGCGCCATGTTCGTCTCCTGGCCTTGGCTTGCTTTGCTCTGCCAGAACCTAATCTCCCAGTCCCCTCCTCACTTCACAGCCCCTCACCTCACCCCCTCACTACACCGTCGTCTCCTTCCGACTCACTTCACCGCCCTCCTTAATGAGGGTGGTGTGCGTATGTATATTATGTATGCTGTATGTATATTATGTATGTATATTATGTATGTGCTCCATTTATATACATTATTTATTCAGCCTAGCTAGTAGCGTGTGGCAATGTATTTACCATGTCCCACACGCTTAATTAATGTGCCTGGCGACATATGGAAGCTGCTAATGTATCACTTGCCACATGTCGCCT